CCCCAAAACCCCAAAACCCCAAAACCCCAAAACCCCAGGAAAATAATTATATTGAAACATTAGGATTTTATTTCTCTTTTAAAACTTGTCTCCTTTTCACCTTCAAATGTTTATTTCCTGACTCAAATTTCTTCACAAATTTAGTCAAACGGACATTGTTGAAATCCAGAACGTGCAGAGTAGAAGGACAGTAGGATTCAAGATTTGTGCCACCAAACATGATGATGGTGTCATCACTGATGGGTCACATTCATTGGCTCCATCTAGACATTGGATGGAACCCGTATGTCACTAGTGTATCCCATTTGTTATTCTCAATATCGTAGAGACAGATGTCATTAAGTGCCAAATTCTTTATTTTATTGAACGCAATATCACTCTTGCCTCCATAGATTAACAAATATTTCTCACTTAGAAATAATGATGAGTGTAGAATTCGAGGAACAGGAGGCTTCCCAGCTGGCTTTAACAAGTTAATTTCAACATTCAACTCAACATCTTCATTCTTTTTATAAAGCCTATGTTTTGGCTTGATCAGAAAGAGGTCATTGGTTTGGCCTTTTCCCTCAACAAAACCTCCAAACATGTAGATTCCCCAGTATTTCGAGCTGAGAGAGTTTGATGCCTCTTTCGTATGCTTATTTCCAAATAGTTGAGGTATACCTCATCTTAGAAGCTTTAGAGATAACTGTTGTCATAGTGTGCATACATCTTTTACCAATTTTAGACTCAGTAAAGATACTAGGGTTGTAGAGCTCAACCCATTTTGAATCATGACAATCATAGAGGTAGAGGTCTCCATAGCACTTCTTGTCTTCGGTATTGATTCCACCTTGGATAAACATGATGTGACCAAAGATTGCACTAGCGTGATACATTCTTTGGTCAGGCTTCGAAGCTGCTGGGCTATTTTTGTCAAAATTAGGAACCCATTTTTCTTTAGAAATATCGTATCAGTTTAGATCTTTATATGAAACTCTCATATTAGCTCTTTTGTTAAATTTACCTGCTCCTCCAAAAACAAGAAAATATTCCTTATACTTTATCATGGAATGTCCAAATCTCTCAAAAGGAACATCATAGATGTCATTTTTAGGGGTAATAGTATTCCAGCATTTCTTGCGAAGATCGAATCACCTGATTTCATTATACACATATGTTCCAAATCCTCCATACACATAGAGCTTTTCATTGTGAAAGGTCATTGTAGCCCCTTCAAGTGAAGGAGGAATCATTCCAGAAGCCTCTCTAAGAGGCTTCCAGAAAGCTCTCTGAATATTCTTATACTGAATCTGCTTCATAACTTGTTCATACTCTTGAATCAGGTCCAGCTCTTGTTTACAAAAGTTCCTGCTGAAATCAATGCCTCTCGAATTTTTCTGCTCAAGAAGATCATCCACAAATGATGAGTCTAGCAGGTTAATCTCCTGGCTACAGCTTCCAGTGAACGCAGGCTTAATGATTGTTCTCAGGAGTCTAGTACAGTCGAATAGCAGTTGTCTCTTGTCATATGTCTCATCAAGAGGATCTACAGCTGCATCGAGGATTTCATGGTACTTCTCGATAGTATTTCTTTCGTTCCAATACCCCTTTGGGTAATCAATTCTTAAATAATTCATGAACTTCTGATCGAATGTTTTTGGGCAAATTATTGCCTTATTACAATGATCAGAAGTGACAGCACATCCTTTCTTATTTTTAGGCCTATTCTTCCAGAAACATTTCGAGCTCTCTAGCACAAACTCTGGTGCCTCCTCAATGGAATCACTACTGATTTCGGAATCTTGCGGCATGACTGGAAAACCTAGAATGATTAGGAGAGAATTTTACCTTTTCTCTTATTCGTTCGCATAATGCTCTTATTCTCTTCATGGACTTTGGACAAGAACTTTTTGTTCCGAGATTCACGTAGTGTCTTAGCCTCATCCAAAGTATTCATCTCTTCTACAATATGAAGCTCTTTATTTAAACTTAACACTATCAATGTTAAGATCTATTTTAAAGTGAAAAGTTTCGAGATCTTTCTTCAGAAGAGGAGTCTGGAACGTCTGAGCTCTATCTTGACTACTTTCAGTTGCATATCCTGTCAGAGCATCCAGTCTCTTGGAAGAGTGGATGTTCTCAAAGGATGGTTCCTTCAGCCTGGCAAATTTTCGCTCAGGATATTCAGATATCTCGCTCTTTTTCTGCTCTGAATCTGTCATTATCTGGGAAATTTGAGTTTTCTTATTCATCAAGAATTCTTCAAGTCTTGGTGATAAATTTTTGTCCCCTATTCGCATTTCTTTAAATTGCGTGTGGTCAAAAGTACTTCCTATGTTGTTATGAGGCATTGATCTCTTTTTATTACCAACAGAGGAGACAGAGATCTTCTCCTTGATCAGCCTCATTTCAAACGGAGTAAGAGGATCTTTGCCTCGACGTTCCACAGATCTAGTAGGAATTCTTAAATTAGTAACTGGCTTAACGAATTTTGGGGTGAATTTAGTCTCTCCCAAAGCAGTCCTTGAGACGATCTCCTTGTTCTTCGTCCTCGCCTTGAGTATTTTAGAATCGTCTGGGCTATCGATATGTCTTTTCTTTTCATTTTTCTTCTCCAAATTAGTTTGATTTATATTCCCAAGGAGTGAGGGATTATCTTTCTCGGTTCGGATAAGGTTCCTGATCTTGCCTTCCTTTATAGCTTTCCTAATCCTCTGAGTATCAAACTTGGTCACAGCAGAGACGAGCTTATTATAATGAGTCTGACGCATAGATTCACTGCAGCTGAGATGAATTTTAATATCATTCTTCTGACTTCTAGCTAGAAATTTTGATTTTGGAACTATAATGCTGGTAAGAGAGGGTGCTAGCGATTCTGCATCTGATTTGCTCATAGACGCCTCCTTTTCAGCTATCCTTTCAATCCGATTATTCCGTGAAACCGGTGTCTGCATCTTCTTAATATCTTCATTCTGAGTGATCAAAGGGAGCATTTTCAATAAAATTTTATATATCAGGGGTTTTGGGGTTTTGGGGTTTTGGGGTTTTGGGG